TACTACCTTCCATAATGACAAGGCTACCATCCATTGTATTAACAAAAATCTTGACAACAAACTACCTTCAATAATGACAAGGCTACCATCCATTGGAGTAACAAAAATCTCGACAACAAACTACCTTCTATAATGACAAGGCTACCATCCATTAGAGTAACAAAAATCTGGACAACAGACTACCTTCCATAATGACAAGGCTACCATCCATTGGAGTAATAAAAATATCAACAACTGACTACCTTCCATAATGACAAGGCTATCATCCAATGGAGTAACATAAATATCGACAACAGACTACCTTCCATAATGATAAGGCTACCATCCACTAGAGTAACCAAAATCTCGAAAACAGACTACCTTCCGTAATTACTAGGCTACTATCCAGTGGAATAAAAAAAATCTCGACAATAGACTAACTTCCATAATGACAAGGCTACACTCCATTGGAGTAACAAAAATCACGACAACAGACTACCTTCCATAATAAGAAGGCTACCATCCATTGGAATAACAAAAGTATAGATAACAGACTACCTTCCATAATGACAAGGCTACCATCCAATGGAGTAACAAAAATCTCGACAACACAATACCTTCCATAATCGTAAGGCTATAATCCATTGGAATAAGAAAAATCTCGACAACACACTAACTTCCATAATGACAAGGCAACCATACATTATAGTAACAAAAATCTGAACAACAGAATACCTTCCCTAATGACAAGGCTACCATCCATTGGAGTATTAAAAATCACTACGACAGACTACCTTCCTTAATGACAAGGCTACCATCTATTGGAGTCACTAAAATCTCGATAACAGATTACCTTCCATAATGACAAGGCTACCATCCATTAGAGTAACAAAAATCTCGACAACATACTACCTTCCATAATGACAAGGCTACCATCCATTGGAGTAACAAAAATATCGACAACATACTACCTTCCATAATTACAAGGCTACCATCCATTGGTGTAACAAAAATCTCGACAACATACTAGCTTCCATAATGACAAGGCTACCATCCATTGGAGTAACAAAAATATCAACAAAAGACTACCTTCCGTAATGACAAGGCTACCATCCAATGGAGTAACAAAAATCTCGACAATAGACTACCTTCCATCATGATAAGGCTATCATCCAATGGAGTAACAAAAATCTCGAAAATAGACTCCCTTCAATAATGACAAGGCTACCATCCATTAGAGTAACAAAAATCTTGACAACAGTCTACCTTCCATAATGACAAGGCTACCATCCATTAGAATAATAAAAATATGGACAACATACTACCTTCCATAATGACAAGGCTACAATCCGTTGTAGTAACAAAAATATCGACAACATACTACCATCCATAATGACAAGGCTACCATCCATTGTATTAACAAAAATCTCGACAACAGACTACCTTCCATAATGACAAGGCTACCATCCATTGGAGTGACAAAAATCTCGAAAACAGACTACCTTCCGTAATTACTAGGCTACCACCCAGTGGAATAACAAAAATCTCGACAACAGATTAACTTCCATAATGACAAGGCTACACTCCATTGGAGTAACAAAAATCACGACAACAGACTACCTTCCATAACAATAAGGCTACCATCCATTGGAATAACAAAAATATAGATAACAGACTACCTTCCATAATGACAAGGCTACCATCCAATGGAGTAACAAAAATCTCGACAACACACTACCTTCCATAATGATAAGGCTACAATCCATTGGAATAACAAAAATCTCGACAACAGACTAACTTCCATAATGACAAGGCTACCATACATTATAGTAACAAAAATCTAAACAACAGACTACCTACCATAATGACAAGGCTACCATCCATTGGAGTATCAAAAATCACTACAACAGACTACCTTCCATAATGACAAGGCTACCATCTATTGGAGTCACTAAAATCTCGATAACAGATTACCTTCCATAATGACAAGGCTACCATCCATTGGAGTAACAAAAATCTCGACAACATACTACCTTCCATAATGACAAGGCTACCATCCATTGCAGTAACAAAAATATCAACAAGAGACTACCTTCCATAATGATTAGGCTACCATCCATTGGAGTAACAAAAATCTCGAAAATAGACTACCTTCCATAAAGACTAGGCTACCGTCCATTGGAATAACAAAAATCTCGACAATAGACTACCTTCCATAATGACAAGGCTACCATACATTATAGTTACAAAAATCTTAACAACAAACTACCTTCCATAATACAAACGGTACCATCCATTGAAGTAACAAAAAAATCCAAAAGAGACTACCTTCCATAATGACAAGGCTACCATCCATTAAAGTAATAAAAATCTTGACAACAGACTACTTATGTAATGACAAGGCTACTATCCATTGGAGTAACAAAAATATCGATAACAAACTACCTTACATAATGAATAGGCTACCATCCATTGGAGTAACAAAGATATCGACAAAATACTACCTTTCATAATAACAAGGCTACAATCCATTATAGTAACAAAAATATCGACAACGTACTACCTTCCATAATGACAAGGCTACCATCCATTGTATTAAGAAAAATCTCGACAATAGACTACCTTCAATAATGACAAGGCTACCATCCATTAGAGTAACAAAAATCCAGACAATAGACTACCTTCTATAATAACAAGGCTACAATCCATTAGAGTAACAAAAATCTGGACAACTGAGTACCTTCCATAATGACAAGGCTACCATCCATTGGAGTAACAAAAATCTCGACAACAGACTACCTTCCATAATGACAAGGCTATCATCCAATGGAGTAACAAAAATCTCGAAAATAGACTCCCTTCAATAATGACAAGGCTACCATCCATTAGAGTAACAAAAATCTTGACAACAGACTACCTTCCATAATGACAAGGCTACCATCCATTAGAATAACAAAAATATGGACAATAGACTACATTCCATAATGACAAGGCTACCATCCATTGGAGTAACAAAAATATCAACAAGAGACTACCTTCCATAATGACAAGGCTACAATTCATTGGAGTACCAAAAATCTCGACAACAAACTACCTTCTATAATGACAAGGCTTCCATCCATTGGAGTAACAAAAATCTCGAAAACAGACTACCTTTCATAAAGACTAGGCTACCATCCATTGGAATAAAAAAAATCTCGACAACATACTACCTTCCATAATGACAAGGCTACCATACATTATAGTAACAAAAATCTGAACAACAGAATACCTTCCATAATGGCAAGGCTACCATCCATTGGAGTAACAAAAATATCAACAAGAGACTACCTTCCATAATCACAAGGCTACCATCTAACGGAGTACTAAAAATATCGACAAAAACTACCTTCTATAATGACAAGACTACCATCCATTGGAGTAAAAAAAATCTCGAAAGTTGACTACCTTCAATAAAGATTAGGCTACCATCCATTGGAACAAAAAAAATCTCGACAATAGACTACCACTACAAGAAAATTAGTGTTTAACGACACAAAAATTGCGACAGTTATGTGATAACTGTCGTAATTGACATATAGAGACAGTGTTTACGACAGTTGACACCAACCGTCCCTAATATTTATATTGCGACGGTATATTTAACCATCATAATATTATTATTACGACGGTAAAACAACCGTCGGCCCCCATTTAACACTTTTAACATTGATTTTTCACCAACAACTAGTCACGACGGTAAAATTAACCGTCCTAAAAGGCATATCACGACGGTAAAGCACCCGTCGCACCCTTAAACCTTTCACGACGGTAAAATTATCCGTCCTAAAATTCATTTCACAACGGTAAAACAACCGTCGCACCCAAAACCTTTAAATATTCTCATGGGCACGACGGTAAAACACCCGTCGCCGTAAAAAAATTAAAAAGCTCATAAAACATCCATTCACTTTCTTCTCCCGCGTTCACTTTTTCTACTCACGGTGCCGTTCATGCCGTTCTTCTTCACACCGAAAGAAACCCCTTGACACCGAAAGGAATCTCTTCAAACCGCTCATCTTCACACCAAAAAACGCACAGCAAGCAGTTTAACATCCTCTGCGTTCATCTCTTCAAACACAGTAAGTTTTATGTATCACTTTTTGCATTGTTCTCATCTCTCTCATTCTCTGCCATTGATTTCAGCATTGGAGATTCACTTGAATCTTATGGTTGAGCTCTTTGTGATGATTGATTTTGAGTTTGAATATATTGAATTGATGTTAGGTTTTCTAATTTGTTGTTTTAGGGTTTTATTTCTTTTTATGATTTTTAGGTTTTCTAATTTGTTGTTTTAGGGTTTGATTTGATTATTAGATTAAATATGTCGCTGGACCGATTAGAATCGATGAAAACTAATATAAATTGGTGAAATCAAAAAAATTGCCTATTTTCTTAAACAATGATTTATCAGTAATGAAGTACTGGAGTACTGAAGTACTGGAGTACTGAAGTACTGGAGTACTGAAAACTCACTCATATGATCACTGATGCAGTCAAGGATGGAAAGTGGGAAGACATGAAGACGGGAAAAAAAGGCCCCAAGATAACCCACCTCATGTTTGCGGACGGCTTACTGCTCTTTAGGAAAGCCACTATTAAACAAATGCAGGAGATCAAAAGTATCCTTTATCACTTTTGTGAAATCTCTGGTCAAGAATTAGCAAAGAAAAATCTAGCATAATATTTTTCTAAGAACACTAATGATAGTACGAGGAGACAGATTATTGCTGACTTAGGTTTCAAGGAAACAAGAAATTCATGATTGTACCATGGAGTTCATCTATATGGTAATAGCCCTGAGAATGCATAATACCAGCATCTTTTGGATACAGTTAAAAAGAAGTTGGCAAAGTGGAAACATAAATAGCTACCAATGGTTGGCAGGATTACTTTTGCCAAATCTATGTTGGAAGCTACTCATACCTACTCCATGATGTGAAGAATGATCCCAATGAGCTGCCTCTAATAGATACAACAAAATGCAGAGATCTTTCATATGGGGATACAATGAATGTGCCAATCATCTTCATACAATCCACTGGAAGAAGATCACTTGTGCTAAGAATCAGGGAGGTTTGGGGCAAAGAAATCTCATTGACATTGGGCTTGCATCGCTAAACTGGCTTGGAAGTTAAAGAGTGGTGAAAGAGCTTTGTGGTGTGAAATCTCATTGATATTGGGTCTCCATATCTTAGTCCTTTATTATAGGGAGTGTTAGTTTTTGAACTCAGTTGTAATTGGAGAGTGGCTTTCTAGAATCAGTTAGTTTATTGCATACTCTGAATTCTTTTGAGAATTCTTATCTTCTTTCCTTGTACCAGTTGAACCTTCCATAATTCATGTCATCTATCTTTAAATTGTTGACTCTGTCTTAACCCTTTATGCAGGAGAAGAAAGCTCTGAAGGAAGAAAAATTGAAGCAAGAGGAGAAATACTTTTTATTGCTGTCTATGCTTTCATTTTTGAAGAGTTGATCAATTTGAAACTCTTTGGAGTTTCATCCAATAGGAATATAGAGAGGTTTTGTTTGTTGTATCAAATGAGTCAGTTGTTTGTTTCTACTGCTATTTTTCAACTTATGTTTATTATTTAATGCAGTTATGATGATTGTTTAAATTAGAGTTTTGGCAGGCTATTCTAATTCCTAGAACAATGGTTAACTATTTTAGATTTACTCCCCAGGACTCAATTATGAGGAAAAAACAAGTGTCTGATTCTCGAATATAATCAAATGCCAACTAATCTATCGACATTTAATAGTATTATTCCAAAAAATCATTAGTTCACTGATGTTGCAAGAAGGACCGAGTAGATGAGTATACTTAGGGGCAGATTAGTAAATGCATTTCCTTTTTCACATGGAATCAAGACAATATAATTTATTTAACTACCATCCTTAATAAGTGTACAAATACGTAATTTTACTTATATATGATCACAGAGGGAGTACATTTTATGTGTCTTTGGCCTTGATTTCAGAATGATTTTACTTTCAATGCAGTTCAATATCTTATTTATCTAGTCTTCTAGACAAAGAAGACAGGTCAGTAAGAATTGCTGCTGGTGAAGCACTGGCTCTAATTTTTGAGATTGGAGCTATAGATAAATTTAATGCAAGTGATGCAACTCAAGAAGAGAGTAAGCCACAGGAAAGTTACATATTTTTACAAGGATTAAAAGGAAAAGTGATAAATCAATGCAAAAATCTTTCTGTGGAGGCTGGTGGTAAAGGTTCTGCTAAGAAAGATCTTAATAATCAGAGGAACCTGTTCAAAGATATCTTGGATTTTTTTGAGGTACTTAATCTTACTCTCTCTTCCCCTTATTATAATTAGAGAATAAAAGATATGTACTCCTGAGTCTGAGTTCCAAGGCTTCTGTACTGATCTCTTATTGTCATTCTAGGATGGTTACGCCCCTGAAATTTCAATGAAGATTGGTGGTGATTCTCTACAGACATCCTCCTGGTCCCAAATGATACAGGTTTCTCTTGCATTCTTTCATTTGGTGTTATTACACTGTAAAATTGCATTTTTTGACATCTAATATGTTTGCAGCTAAATTTCATCAAGCACTTTCTTGGAGGAGGATTCATTAAACATATGCAGGTTGGCTTTTTGTTGCATTTTTCTATTTTCAGCATCTAGTTGTTAAAAGTTTACAACACTAAGTTTGTTTTTGCCTTTTTTTCCTGCCTCTCTTCCTCAATGATATTAGGACAATGAATTCTTACATGATGTCTTTGGTTTCACACCCAAGAAAGAGCTTAACAACGGTGAGCACAGAATGTCTGGTGGTGAAAAGGTGAGTTTTGTCCTGGTAGTTGTGCTACATAATCTCGTGATTTAGTTCATGACTTTCTCCAGATTTACTTATTTCACTTATTATCTGCTGATCTCCCTAAATTTTTTACATGCAGAGGATGTTCAAGTCACCAAATTCTGTTTTGAACAAGGCTAGGACCCAATTACTTAACAAGCAGCGGGTATTATCGGAGGTTAGCATTCTTGCTATATCAGTTGCATGATTTCATCTTTTCTGATTTATACATGATGCAATTCAAAGTCTGAACATTTGTGAAAACCTTCGTTGAAATATATGTTGAATAAAATATGCCATTTATGAAAACTTTGCTGTCACTTATGCAAACATCTGATCAATTTAGATAGCACAAAATTACTTGTATTTGTCCCTTTGGATTTAGTTTGACTGGATTCCATTTTTGTTGAATCAAACAGGGAAGGAACTTCGGGCATTATTCAGTCAGTATGGGAGATGATGAGACATGAGTTTGAGTGGGAACACAATATGATGTAATGCTTTATTTCAGGATTATATTATTCATTTGGACATGTATTTATCGTGTCCACTGTCGCTTTGTTGTATGGAATTGTTTAACTAATCGTTTGCGAACTAGATTCAGGTAATATCGTACGATATTACTTTAAAACAATACTCCAGCTGATTCTATTCTTATACAACACCTTTTATACCCCTTTTTGGCTTCTTTTATAAGAATATTTTTGTATTGATGTTAAATATTTTTTATTGAAATTATTTTTACTATATTACAAAGTGATAGAAAATAAAACAAAAAATAATACTATAAATAAATATATTAAAGAAGAAATAATTTAAAGAAAAAAAGAACACAAAAAAAAACTATATTTAAATTTTTTACATAGATAATAATTTAAATAAAAAATATATATAATAGAAAAAAAAAAAAAAAATCAAGACATAAACAAAAGTCATGGCGACAGTACCGAACCGTCGCCATAAACAATTTAATCAATTTCAAAAGATATTCACGACAATATCGAACCGTCGCCATCAATAATTAAAAGAAACTCAAAAGATAGTCACGACGGTATCAACCCGTCGTAAACATGAACGACAGTTTTTGTAACCGTCGCGAAATAGGTTGGGGACACACACTTCTGCGACGGTAAAGCAACCGTCGTGGAAAGCAAATTGCGACGGTTTTAACCGTCGTAATCTACAAAAATACCTGTCGCAATCTGCCAATTTTCTTGTAGTGTACCTTCCATAATGACAAGGCTATCATACATTGTAGTAACAAAAATATGAACAACAGACTACCTTTCATAATGACAAGGCTACCATCCATTGGAGTAACAAAATTCACAACAACAAACTACCTTCTATAATGACAAGGCTACCATCCATTGGGGTAACATAGATATCGACAACATACTACCTTCTATAATGACAAGGCTACCACCCATTAGAGTAACATAGATATCGACAACATACTACCTTCCATAATGACAAGGATACCATCCATTGGAATAATAAAAGTCTCGACAACAGACTACCTTCCATAATGACAAGGTTACCATCCAATGGAGTAACAAAAATCTCGATAACATACTATCTTCCATAATGACAAGGTTACCATCCATTGGAGTAACAAAAATATTGACAACATACTACATTCCATAATGACAAGGCTACCATCTATTAGAGTAAAAAAAATCTTGAGAACAGACTACCTTCCATAATGACAAGGCTATCATCCATTGTAGTAACAGAAATATTGACAACATACTAGCTTCCATAATGACAAGGCTACAATCCATTGTAGTAACAAAAATATCGACAACATACTACCTTCCATAATGACAAGGTTATCATCCAATGGAGTAACAAAAATTTCGAAAATAGACTACCTTCCATAAAGACTAGGCTACCATCCATTGGAATAACAAAAATCTTGACAATAGACTACCTTCCATAATGACAAGGCTACCATACGTTATAGTAACAAAAATCTAAACAACAGACTACCTTCCATGATGACAATCCTACCATCCATTGGAGTAACAAAAATATCAACATGAGACTACCTTCCATAATGACAAGGCTACCATCCATTGGAGTACGAAAAATCTCAACAACAGACTACCTTCTATAATGACAAGGCTTCCATCCATTGGAGTAACAAAAATCTCGAAAACAGACTACCTTCCATAAAGATTAGGCTACCATCCATTGGAATAACAAAAATCTCGACAACAGACTACCTTCCATAATGACAAGGCTACCATACATTGTAGTAACAAAAATATGAACAACAAACTACGTTTCATAATGACAAGGCTACCATCCATTGGAGTAACAAAAATCACAACAACAAACTACCTTCTATAATGACAAGGATACCATCCATTGGAGTAATAAAAATCTCGACAACAGACTACCTTCCATAATGACTAGGCTACCACCCATTAGAGTAACATAGATATCGACAACATACTACCTTCCATAATGACAAGGCTTCCATCCATTGGAATAATAAAAATCTCGACAACAGACTACCTTTAATAATGACAAGGCTACCATCCAATGGAGTAACAAAAATCTTGACAACATACTACCTTCCATAATGACAAGGCTACCATCCATTGGCGTAACAAAAATATCGACAACATACTACCTTCCAAAATTGCAAGGCTACCATCTATTGGAGTAACAAAAATCTCGACAAGAGACTACCTTCCATAATGACAAGGCTACCATCCATTGGAGTACCAAAAATATCGACAACAGACAACCTTGTATAATGACAAGGCTACCATCCATTGGAGTAAAAAAAATCTCGAAAACAGACTACCTTCCATAAAGATTAGGCTACCATCCATTGGAATAACAAAAATCTCGACAATAGACTACCTTCCATAATGACAAGGCTACCATACATTGTAGTAACAAAAATATGAACAACAAACTACCTTTCATAATGACAAGGCTACCATCCATTGGAGAAACAAAAATCACAACAACAAACTATCTTCTATAATCACAAGGCTACCATCCATTGGGGTAACATAGATATCGACAACATACTACCTTCCATAATGACAAGGCTACCACCCATTAGAGTAACATAGATATCGACAACATACTACCTTCCATAATGACAAGGCTACCATCCAATGGAGTAATAAAAATCTCGACAACATACTACCTTCCATAATGACAAGGCTACCATCCATTGGAGTAACAAAAAAATTTGACAACATACTACCTTCCATAATGACAAGGCTACCATCTATTGGAGTAACAAAAATCTTGACAACAGACTACCTTCCATAATGACAAGGCTACCATCCAATGGAGTAATAAAAATCTCGACAACATACTACCTTCCAAAATGACAAGGCTACCATCCATTGGAGTAACAAAAATATTGACAACATACTACCTTCCATAATGACAAGGCTACCATCTATTGGAGTAACAAAAGTCTTGACAACAGACTACCTTCCATAATGACAAGGCTATCATCCATTATAGTAACAAAAATCTTGACAACATACTACCTTCCATAATGACAAGGCTACAATCAATTGTAGTAACAATAATATCGACAACATACTACCTTCCATAATGACAAGGCTACCATACATTATAGTAACAAAAATCTGAACAACAGACTAACTTCCATAATGACAAGGCTACCATCCATTGGAGTAACAAAAATATCAACATGAGACTACCTTCCATAATGACAAGGCTACCATCCATTGGAGTAACAAAACTCTCGAAAATAGACTACCTTCTATAAAGATTAGGCTACCATCCATTGGAATAACAAAAATCTCGACAACAGACTACCTTCCGTAATGACAAGGCTACCATACATTATAGTAACAAAAATATGAACAACAAACTACGTTTCATAATGACAAGGCTACCATCCATTGGAGTAACAAAAATCACAACAACAAACTACCTTCTATAATGACAAGGCTACCATCCATTGGAGTAATAAAAATCTCGACAACAGACTACCTTCCATAATGACGAGGCTACCACCCATTAGAGTAACATAGATATCGACAACATACTACCTTCCATAATTACAAGGCTACCATCAATTGGAATAATAAAAAACTCGACAACAGACTACCTTCCATAATGACAAGGCTACCATCCAATGGAGTAACAAAAATCTTGAAAACATACTACCTTCCATAATGACAAGGATACCATCCAATGAAGTAAACAAAATATCGACAATATACTACCTTCCAAAATTACAAGGCTACCATCTATTAGAGTAACAAAAATATTGACAACTAACTACCTTCCATAATGACAAGGCTATCATCCATTGTAGTAACAAAAATTTCGACAACATACTACCTTCCATAATGATAAGGCTACAATCCAATGTAGTAACAAAAATATCGACAACATACTACCTTCCATAATGACAAGGCTACCATCCATTGTAATAACAAAAATCTCGACAACGGACTACCTTCAATAATGACAAGGCTACCATCCATTGGAGTAATAAAAATCTCGACAACAGACTACCTTCCATAATGACAAGGCTACCATCCATTAGAGTAACAAAAATCTGGACAGCAGACTACCTTCCATAATGACAAGGCTACCATCCATTGGAGTAAAAAAAATATCAACAAGAAACTACCTTCCATAATGACAAGGCTACCATCCATTGGAGTAACAAAAATATCAACAAGAGACTACCTTCAATAATGACAAGGCTACCATCCATTGGAGTACCAAAAATCTCGACAACAGACTACCTTCTATAATGATAAGGCTACCATCCATTGGAGTAATAAAAATCTCGAAAACAGACTACCTTCCATAAAGACTAGGCTACCATCCATTGGAATAACAAAAATCTCGACAACAGACTACCTTCCATAATGACAAGGCTACCATACATTATAGTAACAAAAATCTGAACAACAGACTACCTTCTATAATGACAAGGCTACCATCCATTGGAGTAACATTAATCTCGACAATAGACTACCTTCCGTAATGACAAGGCTACCACCCATTAGAGTAACATAGATATCGACAACATACTACCTTCCATAATGACAAGGCTACCATCTATTGGAGTAATAAAAATCTTGACAACAGACTACGTTCCATAATGACAACGCTATCATCCATTGTAGTAACAAAAATCTTGACAACATACTACCTTCCATAATGACAAGGCTACGATCCATTGTAGTAACAAAAAAATAGACAACATACTACCTCCCATAATGACAAGGCTACCATCCATTGTAGTAACAAAAATCTCGAAAACAGACTACCTTCCATAAAGATTAGGCTACCATCCATTGGAATAACAAAAATCTCGACAACAGACTACCTTCCATAATGACAAGGCTACCATACATTGTAGTAACAAAAATCTAAACAACAGACTACGTTTCATAATGACAAGGCTACCATCCATTGGAGTAACAAAAATCACAACAACAAA